ATAAATACAACATAGAGACACAAAAACAACAATGAACTATAAAACGCATGAATTTTTTATTCACTTCTTCCTCTAACGTAAATACTAGAATTCAAACCTTAATTAAACTTTCATTTTTAGATTCAATTGGTACATTACAATAATTAGTATGGTAACCGTTGACACATGACATAAGATGTGTTTTACTAAGATCACCAAGCTTCTTCTCTTTTTAACTTTTCCTCTTCTATTTTTTTCTCCCCATATAAGCATCCCACTTAATTATAATTGGAACTTGAACTATGATACCATGTGGAAATTGCACTTATTAGGTTATGATACTATGTAGAAATTGAATTGGCCAATTTTTTTCAACCGTGAATGTAGCAAAAATATGTAAGTAAAGACCACGTTCACAAACTTCTTCAAAGGGCATAAGCAAGTATTAATTATTTTAAAGTACCTTTAAGAAAATTCAGTTCAACTTCTATAATTTTAATCACATATGAAAATCGGCCAATTCGCTTATTTAGTATTATTTACAGACAGCCATATTTAACATCAAGAAAGAAATCACTTTCTTAAGTTTTATTTTGTTTTACCCATCAAAGGTGCACCAAAGGTCCAAAACCGTAAAACATAGTAGAAGTTCATCATCGGAAAAGCGCTTATATGAATCTCAAACATCCCTCAAGTGTATTTAGTTGGTGGATTCGTGTCATAATTCGAATCGTGATTCGCTACAGTATTTTCTCTCACAAAAAACACACGTAAACCGAAAATAGTTCTAAATCTATATTTTATATATTTTGCTAAGAACTATGCATAAAATTATTTTTCAAATAAATTTCATCGGCTGTAAAACTATTTTTTGAATAGGAGTATGGAATAAATCTTTCACTGAATAATATATTTGCAAACGTACACGTATTTATTTGAGGACTCATAGGAATTTGAGAATTACATGCATTTATATATAGATGCAAAAAAAAATTATTTTGAAGAAAATGAGGTTGGAGTTTTGCCAAAATTTTGAAAGAAAGCTTTAGAAAATAAGTATGGAGCAGAGAGACTATAACTGGATGCAATAATGTTAAACTATTATCTTTTTTTTCCCCCTTAAACAACGTAGGAATAGATTGGCAAAAGAAACTAGAGGTGAATTCGACATGAAAATAGGAAAAAGATATTTCTTAAACGTTTTTAATTATTTAAAAGTCAAAAAGCAAATTCAATCTTTTTTAAAATGAAACTTGTGTACTATTTTGTAGTCAGTTTTAACTACAAGAAAAAAAAAAATTAATGTTGCTGAACAAAAACACCTAAGTAATAAAAATTTTCAGACTGAAAAGAGGCCTAATTATAAAGAATTAACAGACGTTTACAACTAAAATATACTAAGCTAATGCTATTAAGTCAAATATTTCTAAATGTTATATACATAAACATAATTTCTAGGTATATACAATCTAATGGGCCTTTGCTCTTGGTGAGGCCTAAGGCTGTTGCGTCAGCTGTCTTACCCTTGAGCCGGCCCTGGTCTCATTCCTCTCAAAGCTACAAGACGTGGTCGATATTCGAGTCCATATTAGTTCTCCTCTTGCACATCTAAGGCTTTTACGCTCGTATGAAAATGTAAATGAAACCGTTTTAAATCTTAAATATAAATTATTTTTAAAAATATGTTTAGTAATTTTATTAAGAGATTATTTTTAGTATAAAAAAAATTCATTAATGTCGAGAGAGGAGAAAATGAAAATAAAAAATAAAAAACGACTAAAAGTCATTTTTCACTTCTATTTTATTTTAAACTAAACCAAAAAATCATTTTTATTTTTTATTTTTATTTTTATTGAATCAAATACCGTTTTAAAAACATTTTTATTTTTTTTTTCTCAAAAAACGTGAAAAACAAAACAAGATCAATTCTAAAAACAGACTTTATCTTTTATAGCAAAAAATACGCATTTGTCCCACCAGAAGAACCAAATACCCCTGGAATACGAGCCTTAAAAGCAATCTCAGACCGCCAAAGAAGTCCATCAAAACTCTCATTCCATATATAAAATGAAACAACTTTCAAATCCGAATCTCGCCCATTGGTCTTCTGAATTCCGACGCAATAAACGGTTCGTTATGTTTTCATTAATGCTGCTTGGCCAAGTGGAGGGCTCTCTAATGCTCATCTCTTTTGATGCTAAGAGTTCGTTTGGTATAAGAGTTTAAATTAGGGTGATTCTAATTTTAATTTTAGAATTAGAATTATGATTCATGATTTTAAATCTAAATCATGGTTCTGAAACTAAAATCAGAATCATAAGTTTGAACCACCTAAAATTAAGAGAGTGGGTGATTTTAAAATCATGAGTGATTCATGGTTTAAAACATTACATCAGAGTTCAAACCTTGAATTAGAACCATCCAAACCAAATATTGATTCTGAGTGAATAAATCAGAACCACTTTTTATTTTTTGTAAACAAACATGGATTTAAACACAGAATCATGATTCTGGGTTCAAAATCCTTACAACATATACTCAATTAAGGGTTCATTTGGTATGGATGTTCAAAATAGGGTAATTCTAATTTTGATTTTAGAATCATAATCTTGATTCATGATTTTGAGTCTAAATTATGGTTCTGAAACTATAACCAGAATCATGGGTTTAAACCACTAAAAATTAAAGGGGATGGTTTTAGAATTAATGGTGATTCATGGTTTAAAACATTACATTAAAATTTAAATTTTGAATCAGAAACATCATAACTAAACATTAATTCTAAATAAATCAAATCAAAATTATTTTTTATTTTTTATAAATAAACACTAATTTTAAATTAAAATCATGATTCCATTCACTTACACCGGACAACACCAAAATATTGGGCCCCGTTTGGTTCCTATATACTTGAATCCATAATTTTCCGTCTAACTTCAACTTCAATGCGTGAACCAAACCGACCCTTGCTTTTCCACGAGACATTAGCGATCAATTTGCACTCACTGGCCCACGAGTCGAAAGCGTAACCGTCGAAAATGTGATATGATGTGGATCGGGCAAATTGAGTACTTGGCGTTGGCGTGTAGTCAGATTCCTGATATGGAACTTCCCAGATGTGACGTTCATCCCCTACGCCAATCCAGCGAAACACTGGATTGGGAAAAAAAACTCCCGTCGACGCGATAAGGCAGAAACACAACAGTGGCTCGACGAGTATGGATTGCGATGAAGTAGGGGTCTTGAATCAAAGAATGCCATTGCTTGGTATTCCAATGGTATTTATCCCATGGTATTTAACACCTGAAAACCACAAAATAAAATTTATCCCATATCGAAATACTAAAAAGCGCTAATGTGTTTAATTATTATTACAATAAAACCAATAAAAGAGCCAATCAATGTGTTCGTATAGCTATAGAAGTACGATTTGATATGGGATTGGATTGGTCTGACAAGTCCAAATTCAATCAATCTGTGTACATGGCAAGGATGCAATCTCGCGGAGTTATACACATGCTAAGTTTTATTTTTTTTAATACAATTATTTCATTGAAAATTTTACTCTTTTTTTCTCTAAATTTAAATTTAAATTTTTAGACCTTATTCATTTTATTGATTCGAGTTTTGTTACAGTAAAAAAACTTTCAGAAAGAGTCACATCTTACTTTTTACTATTGTTATATGAAAAAATGTGCGCTGACACATGAGATATGTGGGCCGGCGATAGCGCTCCACGTGGCTTTATGTTTGCCACGACTGGTAGCAGTCGACGTCTGGGTCTTGTTTTCCTTCTAAATGATTAGGAAGGCTAAATGCATGGACGAATCCTTAGACCGCTGACCACTCGAGAACGTCGAGGCCTATATGACGCATGGGAAGCTCCACAACAGTCAATTAAGCGAAGAATCTAGTTCCTTAGATAGACGTCGAGGGTAGAGTACGGGTTGCGGAGTGCCTCAATAAAGATCCTTGACACATGCAGGTTGCGTCTGGTTGAAAAGGTGTTAGTAGCGCAGAGATTAATTATGAGTCCCTAAGACCGCCTGTAATGAACAGTTGAAGATTACGGGATCTGCAGAGCCGTAATAGGAGACAAATTGAATGAGTAAACAGTACAAAAGGTGTTGACAGGTTATGATCTGGGCTCATAGGGTAGTAGACCACTCGAGTTAATAGGCATACAAAAAAGAACTGCCCACGAAGTAATCGTTGGGCTATAAAAGGGGCAGAGCCCCAAAGGATGAAGGGGATCCTTTTATGTAACTACAATAGAAAAAAAGATATACAATATACAGTGAATGTAGCTATTGATTAACAGAATGAATCACTATAAAATTTGCGTGTCTTTTATATTCATACAAGCACTACTTCTGCACTTCTAAAATTATCATACCACAAACAACACTTTAGTAGTATTACACCAAAAATATAACGTTTATGCCGGTAACCCAACAGAGTACCAAGAGGTAGTTCGGCATAATTCTGTTGGCGAAATTCAACCGCCAATAACTATAATAAAAAACTTTCATATGAAGTCACATCTCGATTCAAATTAAAAACTTAAATTAGCGAACTAAATGAGCTTTTAAATAATAATATTTAAGATAATATTTAAATATTCTTATGTCATTTAAAATAATATATCTTTTAAAGGTAATATTTTACTTTATTTTATTTTAAAAAGACATTTTAGTACGCATAGCCTATCAAGAAATTATATTTTTCTAATCGTTAAATCTGTGTATTTTTTAATTTTTACGTGGTTTTATATAATTTAATAGACAAAAAATTTAATTTATCAGTATGTTAATATATCAGAGAAGGTCCTTATTTTTTAAAACTTAAGAATAATTTTTGGATAGTTTTCAAAACATGAGAAATACTTTTTTGTAAAATTTTAAATCCAAGGGGGGAAAAAAACCAATCTTAGCATTTAGATGTGCAAAAGCCTTTGGATCGAAGTCGAATCGGACGGTCACCCTTACGCCTCCTCATCGTGTATGATACGGCAGCTACTCTCTCAGATCCCGGATTGCTTTGACTTATTTCTTTTCTCTCTGCCGGCGAAAATCCCCAATTCCATAAACCTAATTCCCATTTTCCTCTCTGAAAACCCTCGTCTCCGTCCATGGCACCAAAGCGAGCACCCCATCTGGACGATCCTCCGACGGTTTCTTCTTCTTCCGACGAAGAGGAAGCCTCGTCGGAAGAAGCCTCCGGCTCCGAAGACGACGAACAGGAAGTCTCGGACTCGAACGTCAAGCCCAAGGAGGAGACTCCGCCGAAGGCCAAGAAGCCCAGATCGAAGCCCTCGGCGATGCCGTCGAGGCAATCGGTGAAGCGGACCAAGAAGAGCGACTCCAACGCCGAGAACGGCGGTTCGGAGGAGGAGGAGGAGGCGAAGATGTCGGGAGGAGACGACTCGAAGAAGCTGCTTTTCCAGAGGCTGTGGAGCGAGGACGACGAGATCGCGATCTTGAAAGGGATGATCGACTACGCCGCGAAGACCGGCGCGGACGCTGCCGTCGCCGACATGAACGCGTTTTACGATTTCATTAAGAAGTCGCTCCACATCGACGCTACAAAGACGCAGCTGAGCGATAAGGTCCGAAGGTTGAAGAAGAAGTACGTGAACAATCTCAAGAAGAAGTACAACCCGACGAAGCCTCACGAGCTGGAGGCTTTCCAGCTGTCGAAGAAGATTTGGGGCAGCAGAGAGCCGAAGTCGAATGGCACAGCGAAGAGTAACCAGAAAGGCAAATCGGAGCTGCTTTTGTCGCCTGCAGCTCCGGCGGAAATCGAAACAACGGCGATTGATCGAAAGGCGGGTCCTTCGGCGAGTTTGAGCGAGCTGATTCGGTTCGATAAGAGCTTACCGGAGCATGTGGTGAAGCAGGGACTTGATTTGATTTCGGAATCGAAGAAAGCCGAGTTGGAAGCGAAGTGGAGGATGCTGCACATTGCTGAATTTGAGCTTTTTGTTAAGAAGAGTCAGTTGATTAGCGAACAATCCAAGTTGATACTCGAGGCGATTAAGCCGTCTGATGATTAGCGTATTCATCAGGTATAACTTATGATGGCTTTTCGAGTTGATAACTCATGCTAGGAGTTTCCATTTCTTTGTCTCTGTGTGTAGTGTTTGCTAATTCTGAAATTTGTAGTTAATAACTTATGGTGACTTCTCGGCTTATTAGGGAAAGAAAATAAAAATCATGTTTAGGAGTTTCTATCTCTTTATTCAAGTGTTTAATAATGTTGAAGGTTGTAGCTTTTAACTGTGTAATTAGATAATTAATTATGTTACAAATCTTGCTTTATGTTACAAATCTTGGTTTGCTTGTTGTACCTGTTACCTTTGTTCATAAAGTTGCTCCTTATGTTCGATGTTATTTTTAATTTTTTTGATTAATTGTGGGTATCATTTTTCCTTGTTTTGTCATTGTGAATTGCACTGATTTACCTGACATTAATATTCTTATTTTGCTTGTTTTAAGTATTCAAAGTTTCAAAAGAAGAGTGGGGCTTTAGACAACTAATTACTTGCATGTCATTTTGTTGTCTTTGTATAAGTTAACGTTAGTATATCAAGATTAAGTTTTTATTTGTTGATTATTATGGCTATCTCTATTGTGATATTGAATCTATTGCAATAAAATTCCTTTTCTTCTAATGAATAGGGTAATCGGTTTTTCTCTTTTCAATGGAGTCTTATACTAATTCTGTATATACCTCATTTATGTTGCTGGTTGAACATTTTTTATTGTTTGTTTAGTGTTTGCTTAGAATGTTTTAGTGGGGATAGTTGTCCCATCCTCTCTGGACATTATTTTTTGCTCAATATTTTGGTATTTTTTCAGTGTTTTCCCCACATTTACTGGCTCATTAGAGCCAGAGGCTCCTCGTTTGTCTGAACCATCTGGTTATTCTAGTCACGTTGAAAATCTTTCATTCAGTTTCCTTGACTACGTATGCACTTTAATCCATAAGGCCTGCCCTGAAGATCTATATGTATGTCCTTGGATACATCCATATAACTAATCGAAATCTTCATAAAAATATTCTCTTAGAACCTAAAATTCTCGATAGCTGAACGCAAACTTTGAATAGGACTCTCTTTCTCAAACGAGGGACTGTGATGGTTCACGTTATTTGTAATAAACTCTTTGGGACATTTGGGATGTGGAATTTTTGAAACTGAAACTAAAAAGGCTATTTCTTGCTTTAAGGGTCTAACATGAGAGCTAATGCATAGGTGAACAAGAGTGAAGCAGGGACAGCAGGCAAACAATCAAACATTGAGGGGGGAGTTTGGTATCGTAAAAGCTTCCTTTCAGTTTACATCTTTGTATATAATTTCTTGTTCCCTTTAAATTTTGATTCTTTTCCTGGGAAACAAGGAAAGTAGAGCATCAACAAGCAGGTCCTCCCTCTCCAGTTTTCGACTCCCAATTCATAAATAATTGAAAAAAGTTAAAAGAAAATATCCATTAGGTAGTAGTACGAATGCAAAATAATATCTTTGAAAGCAATGATTCCTCTCATGTCCACACAAATGAAAGGCTATAATGATCTCACTAACGTTACATTTGTTGAATGTCACCATATGGAATCATTCAAAGAATTTGAAGAAAAGAGAAACAAAATAAACAGTCAAGCAGAGGGCGTGGTCTGGTCTTGCCGGCTTTTCTTTTCTTCTCTGATTGTGGCTGCCGCTGAAATGTAATATGCTACGGTAACGAGTCCATGAATGAAACATAAAATCCCACCAATTGAGAAAAAGCGATGGTGGGCAAGCCCGCATGATTTTCTCGACTTTGAATTTGCCAATGTTCCTATCATCAGCAATGAAAACGCAGCACCCAAAACAATCCTGCTTCCAGAAAAATATATTTATTATCTTCATCGAAGTTGTGAAAATCCCAGTTCAATTATACTGGAGAAATGCATCACAATTAACACATACCATGACAGAATGAGAGAGCCAACAGCTAATTGCTTGTTTGCAGTTGCTCTTTCATATTCTGCTCTGGACCAGAAGCAAATGCATCCGCCAAGCAAGTTGGCAATGACATGAGAAAAGGCCAAAAGCACGGCTGCAGCCATTCCTAACTTGTACGCTTGATAGCTCGGGTCTCTACACTCGAAAATCCACATCCTCAGACTTTTTACCTGTTGGGGGAACAACCAAAAATGAAAGAAGAAGAGCACAAATGTTGTTAAGGAATACTTTGGAAGATTTTTAGTTCTGTAATGATTATAAGAAATACCTTGTTTTGAGCTATTTCAGCCTGAATCCCAAGTATCCCGGCGACGACATCCATAATCATGATCATGATGCAGATAAGAGGGCCAAAGTTCCTTGCCATTTTTACAACTAGAGAGCTCCGGTACAGTTGATTAAAGATTGAGTATAGAACTTACAGATTTATAGTCATTTCGTTTGTAAAGTCATGTAGGCCCTAAAATATAGCGGGAATAAGAATAAAGCAAGGCCAGGTATACATTATACACAAACAGAATTAACGTTTATAAACAAGTGAACTTAAGGAAAAAGCTTCTTTTTGCGCTTTATAGTTTTCTACATTCATCTTCTCCTTGTGCCTCTCTTTACAAGATTCATTCATTCATTCTTTACACAAAGAGCAAGGAAAGTGGAATATAAGTATAATATAAGCAGAGAGGAAAGGAAGGTTTAACCGAAAGGAAGGTTTAACCTTACTTCCATGGACTCGGATTATTCTCCCAAGATTTTACTGTCTTTTGCAGGTGAGTTCTTCATCCAGTTTTTAGTGTAGCAGATTCAGCTTTGCGCCTAATTTCATGTACTATGTACTATGGTTGAGCCGCGGATAGAAATGTGTACCCTTTTCAAAGTATTGAAGACGGAAATTCAGTGAGGCTACAAAAGATACTAAGTTAGGAACGAATTACAAAACTCTTCTAAATAAAAAACGACATGTCTTCTCACGGACAGAAACAACGAATTCTGTAATTTGAACGACAGAAAAAGAAAAAAACAAAAACAAAAGGTGTGTTTGGAATTTGTTTAAAAATAATTTTATTTTTAATAAAAAATAAAAATGTGATTATTTTTAGAATCATTTCGGGACTGCTTTTAAAATTACGTTTGATTTTTTAAAAATTGTTTTGAGTATAATAAAAAAGTGAAATCATGTTTATTAATTAATATATTATCAAAACCATATGGCTTATGTTAAGCTAACTTCTCGACCAAAAACATCTCGTTTGAAAAAGGCGAAAACACGCTTTCAGTATCAAAACCATATGTTTCTCAAACCGGATTTTCAAAAAAAATTGTGCGGAAACTTAGTATCGATCGAATCACATAAATCAAAATTTAATGCTATCATTATTTTAGTTAATTTAACTACTAAGATATTAAAGAGAAGAAGAATAATTTTACCGTCGCTCGATTAGGACGTTAATCTTAAACTCCTCTAACTCCGTTTTAAAAACACCATGGTTCTTTCTCAACGTATCTCTAAATCAACGTGAACTTAAACGAATGACGTTTTCATAAGTTTCTCAACACATAAGATGGATGAATTAAAAAAATCACTTATAATTATCATTCGTTTTTCACAAATATATGATAGCACTAAGAGATTTTCTTTAATTTTTCTTTTTTTTCTTCCGTACTCTTTTTTTTTCTTTTTCTAGAAAACCCTTTTTACTGTATTTTTTTCGCAAAAAACACATATCTTTTTCAATCCTCTTCTTTTACGTTTCCGTGCAACCACCTCTGAAAATGTGGGAAACTTACCCACGTTCTCCATCTTTTTATTTATTTATTTATTTATTTTGTTTTTGAGGGAACGTGTACTGCCACACGTTCCCTATCCTTTTAATGTTTATTATATATATATATATATATATATATATATAGGAAATGTCTTTAGTCTGGTAGGTATAAAATGGCTAACTGATCCGCTCAGGCAATTGTGACCGTTAGATTGGAATTAAACGGTGTAGATTTGTTTCTAAAAAACCTCTCCCTTTCTCAAATGCACGAGCGAGCATTCCCAAACCTTATTTTCTCTCGACCTCCCTTGACCTTCCTCGAGCTCCTTCGACCTCCTCCGCAGCCAGATCGGCGTCGACGAGTTCTGACAGGCGGACGAGGCCGCGTCTCGACAACTCCCACAAGCAAACCCACTCCTATCTCCTCCTCCACCCTGACATTTCCTCTCTCCTGAAACACCACCACTTCATCCTCTGTCTCCGTCGCCGCTTCCTCGAACGCCTCCGCAGGGATGTTGCCGGAGGTGACTTCCGACAGGCCGACAAGGAGACCCGCCGCCTAACGACCACTCCTACAACCAAACCCACTAACATTTTCTCTCCCCTCAAACACCACCAGTTCATCTTCACCGCCTAACACTTCGTCGACGGAGATACTCCCGAGGTAATCTTCCAAACACTTTAAACTGTATAGCATTTGTAAAAAAGAACTTAATTATACCTCGATTGTAGACTCGAATTATCTGGAAAATGGAAAAAATGGTTAAAAAGTCCCCTATTCTCCATTATCAAGTTACGCAGAAAATTGTAAATAGAGGGGACGTTTTGGAAGATAGAAACACTATGAGTGGGTCGAATTTGTGGTTATTTGAAGCTAATTTTGATTCGTTGCTTCGATTTGGTAGTTATAGGGTTTGTACATGTGGTAAACAAAAAACCTATTGGGAAAGTGAAACGTCCCAATAGTAGAAAACTTATATAGATGTAGTACAAGTGGATTCATTTATTATTTTTCTGAATAACTATGAAACCAAAGATGTTTACAAAAAAGTATTAGTTGATTTAGTTGAAAGAGTATTTTACAAAAAAGTGAAAACCTAGATTCATGCAATGCAAGTGGATTTATTTTTGAGTTTTCTGAATAAGTATGTAGGCGTGGATGTTTGTGGATGCTACAAGCCAGTATAATTTATTCTAGTTGAAAGAGTTTTATACTAAAAGTGGTATTAGGTTATAGCGTGTGCTATGCGATATATCATGTAAGTAGTATGAATAAAATTGTGTGATTATTGCTATTGTCATCTTGGTGTTTCTTGTGGGTTATTTATTTTTAATCTTTTGGACAAATGTGTTGAGGACAGATGCATCCTGTGACATGGGAAGCATAAATTAAGCTATGGTGACTAAACGGGGTCGTAAAAGGCAGAGTGTGGATCGGGGAGAAGAGGACAAAGAGCATTTGTCCACTTCGGTTTCTAACCAAAAATTAAATGTACGATGCTCCCCACTGCGGTTTGGTAAGATGTGTGCTCATCTTAGGGAGCGTAGAAGGGCGTTGGTTAAAGGAATGGGGTTTGGGGGGTTGTTGGAAATGGCTAGAGTGCACATATGTCACAAATTGATTATGTGGATGGTGGACAACTTTAAAGAGGAGGATTGCTCATTGACTATTTGCGGGAAGACGTTTGTCCTCACAACGGAGTTGTTTGGTGAAGTTATGGGGTTGTCTGATGGGGGGGACGACTTTGAGCAGTAAGGCACCGATGAGGAAGTGATTAATCGGAAGAAAGAAATAATGGATGGAAGGAGGCACGTACAGTTGTCTGATTTGGAGGATGACTTGTTAGATGATAAGCATCCTGATGACATATTTATTAGGAAGTTTTTACTGTTTGCTAGTGGAACTATCTTAATGCCAACAACAGTTGTTGTGGTTGGAACAACCATACTTTCTTTCATAAACGGTGTTCATAGTGTGAAGAACTTAAATTGGGCAACACAGTGTCTTAGCCATCTTGTTAAGGCAATAATGCATTATAAAAAAAGGAAAGGGGAATTCATTGGTGGATGTGTGCTATTTCTACAGGTAAATGCTAGATTACTCATGTTCGAACTTGAATGTTGATGATTTCTTTGGTTGGGACGCACATTATTTGTGATTAATAATAATCTTAACTTCCTTGTAAGGTGTTTTACTTGCACCACTTGGAGGGTCACTCTCAATTCATCGATCGCAGTAAAGTACCAATAACTGCGTGGACAGAGAAGAAGACTAGAGCAGTTCTAAGATGGATTAAGGCTTCCGGCGGTTACTCTGTTAAGAAGGTAACAAAGTTAAATGACTTGTATTGCAAAGGTGTTTTACTTGTTTTTGGTTTCAATTTTAAGTTAATTTGTTTAAATTTGTACGTGTATACTAACGCTTTATTGTCTTGATTAATTGATGCAGATGCGGTCATCAATGGTCGAGGAATCAGGTGTTGGAAGAAGGACCATTGAAACGCATGCCTTCAACATCATGACTGAAGTAAACCGAACGAAGGATGTGGTCAGTGAGTTGGCTCAGCAACTCTCTAAGTTTAAAGAAGATATGTTGGATGTTATTAGGAGAGAAGTTCGTGGTGTGACTTCCGAAGCATTAGACGAGGCTAATTCCAATGCAGGGAAATCCGATGAAGTAAGGAGAAGTGTCGCCAACAAGAGTACGGGCACGGAGGGTATTCAAAATGACGCCCCGTTGTGTGAACCTCCAATTAAACACGTAGCAGGGGCAGCAAATGAAGGGACATCCATTTCTGAGATAATGCGTGGAATGGATAATATCGAAGATGAGTTTGCAAGCGTTTTTAAGTCACTCAATAGGATACACTCAGGACAATCGAAGCGGAATGTTGTTGGTTCAAGTGATTTGAAAACCAATGTAAATGGTTGGTTGGCTGCCATAGATCCTCCGGATAGTTTGCGAAGCGATGAAGTTGTTGACGTGACAATGGAGTGTACAGAAATAAGTGATTCAGAAACCCGTATTGCTGAATTCGTTAGACAAAACCATCCCCGTGACCCGACTTGTCTTCTTAAAGAATACGTAGCAAGTAAGGGTCGAAGAGTAGGAAACTTTCTGTTGCGATTTGTCGTTAAGCCAACTGACCTATGTGTTGCTTTGTATGTATATGACGAGTCATTGAAGAATAGGTAAGTTTGGAAACCGGTGGTTATTATTAATCTAACCATTTCATTGCTTTAAATAAATCAAAATAAAATAAAAAATACATCACTAATGTTGTGGTAGTCCTATTTTCGTATGCAGTGAGATCCTTGACTCGTTTGGAAGATTTTCCTTAAGGCGGATGCACCTTGTTGAGTTAGCTCCCGGCCGAAATATTAGCGGCGTTGTAAGTAAATGATAGTACTTATGTCCTAATTCGCTATGTATTTGAAGAAACACATTGATGATGATAACCCAGTTACATCGTAATTAAACTATGATTGTGATGTGCAGATTATTGATTGCTATGCCCGTTGTTTAACGGAGGCTTTGCGAAGGGAGTTCCCCAATCCTATGGAGCAGCCAGTTTGGGTCCTTCCAACTCGAATTTCGGTATTGAGCAAGTTAAATATAATAAAATAACCAACATTATGGATGCTAACACTATGCATCTATACTTTGAAAAAACTGTAAAATTTAACAAGTATGAGAAACATATAAAATTTGTTTCTACGGGAGTTGTAATTTGGTTTGCTGTACTATGTTCACAGGTACTTTATGCCACACTTAAGGAAGAAGGCATCCAGAAGCACATAAAATTAATGCATTATGCGGAAGCTGAGGAATGGCGTCGTAATTTTCTTGGTGATGTTAGAGCCTGTGATAAGGTATGCTTGCCCAACAAACTATTTATCATGTTCGATAAGTGATGAGTTCGAGCTAGAGCTATGTTGTTGTTTGTAAAATTGCAACAAAAAAACAGAGACAACTTTGAAGGAGAGAACAATGAAAAACTTTTTAGTAAAGAACACTAGAGATAATTTCATTGAATTCATTACTTACATTTAAAGGCTTAAAAAATAACAACCAGTAAGATCATGTCCTATAATCAGGCCACGATTGAAGACATAAAAAACATAAAAAACAGAACATTAACAACCTCCTAGAAACTAGGAAACAAACTTTGAAATATTCAAAAACAGAACAATAAAATTAAAAAATATTTTCCAAACGTGGCAGCAGTCCTAAACACAACAGCTAACATTCCTCCTTGCTTTAGAGACTGCGAACACCAAGTTTCATTCTCAAGAACTTGAACTTGCTAGCTGGTAAGGGTTTAGTAAAAACATCAGGTATTTGCTATTCTATTTTGCAATAAACAAGAGTTACATCACCATCCTTCCGTACTTCTCTCAAGAAAAATGGCTTGATGTTGAAATGTTTAGTTTTAAAACTGGATTATGAGAAATAGCTATTGCAGCTTGATTATCAGTTTGGATGAATTGAATCTTCTGTGTTGCTCTCCACGCTGTTTTTGGAAATGGTTGTCTGTGTTGCTTTCCATATTGACACGCTTGGCAGTGAGGAACATGATCTTCTAAAACAGGTAAATCCCTTACTAATTGCTTTGTTTGAAGTAGTAGTAGTCCTTAATGATGCTAATTACCGAGCCTTTTGTGCCATATCTCCGTGACACTTTCCTTGGTAGGAAAGGCAGCTTGCCCTTCCTCTAATGGATTAAGTGTGAAGCTCTTTCCTATCATCTTCACGTTGAACATCTCTTGAGCAGAGGCATTATCTCCGTGACACTTTCCTTGGTAGGAAAGGGAGCTTGCCCTTCCTCTAATGGATTAAGTGTGAAGCTCTTTCCTATCATCTTCACGTTGAACATCTCTTGACCAGAGGCATCCTTTATCAGGCAGTATTTGTCTTCAAAATGTACTTTGAGCCTTTCTCTATCAACTGACCAACACTTAACAGATTTTGGGAAATTTCTAGAAACATCACAGATAAGTTTTTTACCTGAACAACTTGCATTTGCAATGGTGCCTTTTCCCTTGACTGCTATATGCTGTCCATTGCCAATTTTGACTTTTGTAATCTCCGTGCTTCTTAATTCCTTGAACAACTCCTTGTCATGTCTCATATGATTAGTGCAACCACTAACAATTAAGCAGCTCTCACTTGAATCACTTATTGAGAAGCAAGTAGCAACAAAGAGCTGATCCTCATCCTCTTGATCAGCAACTTGGGCATCTGCTTCTTGCTGCTGATTTTTTCTTTTGCAAAAAATAGCTTCATGACCAACTAGGTTACACCTGCTACATTTTGCATCAGGTCTCGTGGATTATTTGAAAGGAGGATGACCCTTTCTGCCACAATGTTGGCATCGAGGATAATTTCCCTTCGGACCTCCGGTAGTTACATTTAAAGGCTTAAACAATAACTAACCACCATGTCCTATAATCAGTCCACGAGTAAACACATAAAAAACAGAATATTAACAACCTCCTAGAAACTAGGACACAAACTTTGAAATATTCAGAAACAGAACAATAAAATTAAAAAACCATATGCAAACGTGGCAGTAGTGCTAAACACAACAGCTAAAAAGCTATATTATATGTGAATTGAAATCATGAGAAGTCTATTGAAGATTGTGATACCATGTTATTCGTCGGAAGATCTGCACTGGTTTTTGGCCGTTTTGGACTTGAACCATCAACAAGTTGAGATTTAGAATTCACTGCCTCATCCTAGGAGTAGACATCGCCGGGGTTGTATTGCCATGGATTCGGTAAGTTGCTTTAACCGCTATCTAAAATTTGTTGGAGTATTTTCGTGTGATATGTTTGAAAATGCTATCATGCAGGTTAGCGTGCTTGCCAACTTACTCGCAAGTGATTTGGAATTGGCATATGATGACGGACTGAATCTTAGTTCGTTCAAAGTAGTGCATAAGAAGGATATACCAACTCAAGCGAATGGGAATGACTGTGGCATCTTTGTACTAAAATTCATGTGGGCTGCTGCAACAGGGAACACCGTAGATAGTAAGGTATCGAAATTAATAATGTTCAGATGCATGCAATGAACATCCATATTTATGGTGACACGGTTTGTTCAGCTTGCAAACCACATACTTTCATGTGTCTTAACTCTTGTTATATAACTGTCATTGATAGTTCGATTTGGAGGAGGCACGGTTTTTTCTCAGTCTTGAACTTGTTAGATCAAAGATAAAAAATGTTAGGGAAGGCACTCTGAATGCAGTGTACAAGCATTCAAAGGACGTTATGTCGAGGTACAGTCTGCAGGAGTTGAGCACCACTACGGAGGAGAAAGTAAGTGCACCATCAGTCGTTGACCCAGAGCCTGGAGTGCAAAATTTGGCGTATGCGACAAAGAAGAAGAGGGCTTTACGCTGGGGTCGCAAGGGGTAATGTCCTGCTACCATTGCATAAAGAAGAAGTGGACTGCAGAGCTATAGGATTAACATCTACCACAACAGTTGTGTATTTTTTCCGGATTTGATCCAGCGGGTTTGAAAGGCAAAAAATGGCCCGTAGAAACAATTCAAGGATATAGTATGAAATAAAGTATACAATCATGCTTCTGTCCCATAAAAGTATTTTGGTGTTCAATTGATTGTTGTTTTGATGTAAATGGGACTCCTTGAAGCCTTTTTCCCACGACATCTTTTATAGTTGTGACAAACAGTAGGTCAACAACTATATTAGGTTACTGTTTATCTTGTTTATCTTACTTAACCTTTGATGGAATTCATGTGGACGTTTACATATATATATATATATATATATTCGGTTGATCAGCAATATTCGAATTACGTTGTGGTAGGATAATTCTTGTTATGTTATAGGATGCACTTCGTGGTAAGGATTTGCAATTCATTTAACAGGGTAGTTAATATCAAAATCAAGAAACAAACAACCCAAAACCACGGACGCTATGAGCAGATTTGTTTATATAAATATACACTGCAAAATATTACACAAGCATGCTAACAAAAAAAAACTGAAGTTCAAATACATTACACCGATAAAGGCAGTTAGCTTGAACACTGTTACAGTCAGTGTTATGCAAGGTAAATCAACCAAGCCTCAAAAGGGACATAATATAACAATACATGACCTACGCTCCTCCCTCTGTGTCAGATTCACCTTCGGCAACCACATGACCAACGTGTGGCATCGACAGCGACATTCGAAAGTTGACGTGCTCTGAATACCTCGTCAAGCACTCGTTCCTCAGGAAATCAATGGTTTGGTTAAACTTGTCGTATGTTGAATCAGCTTCAATTTGAGCAGCAACTATATGGGCTGCTTGTGCGTTGATATCATGTTTCAGTTTCTCTACCTCCGCTGTCAAATCCGCAAGTTTCTTCTTCAGGTCGGCGTTCTCGGTGAGAAGTTACTGGCGCTGAGCAGACAGCGAGTTCTCTGCCTTCATAGCATTGTTGAGAAGCTGCAGTAGGTCGTTCATATATTTTAAGGGCTCATCTGGAAGCTGCTCAATGGGCCACTCAAAAATGTCAACCCACTGAAGCTCACTTCGTGCATCTGTCGTTGAAGGTCGAGGATTGGCATCAGAAGTAGACCCCATAGTTCCTTTATGTTTGAATCTCACACGCTGGTTATATATTTCTACTTTTTTGTTTCCTCTTACGCGGTGTGGGTTGTGAGACGTTGGGGAAGTTCACAAACGGGTATAGCCAACCGTGAACCATTTAAAACGGCAGATCAGGTTTGGTGCAATAGCATAAACTAGTAATAAATGCGTTGTCATTCCTAGCATGTGCGATTTTTTTTATGACCATTGAATGAATGAGTGTCAAGGACGCAAGGTGATATCATGCAGAATGAAAATTATGCAAAAAGATTTGTTACAAGTCTTGACCGAACCCTTGCCAGCGTTTTCAACCTTTTTTTTTTTTTGGCCTTCTAAAATTAATATCTGGATTTTAAAAATTAATTCAACAAGATCACCATTTTTTTTTATGAATATTCAATTTTTTATGAATTTTTTCATTTTTCGTCCGTAAAAAATATTAAAAAATTAAAAGGACGTCAATAAATAATAAAATTGTGCAAACACGAGCCTTACATTTTTCTAGGCGTGGTAGAAAAGAAATCGCCTAAAAAATTGATGAAAAAAGTAAGACGTGGTAACAAAGCCCATTCGGTTGTCATAGTTAGCCGCCTAAGGGCGACTTGAGGGCCCGGGATGGTTTAAAACCTTTTTTTTGTTTTTTTTTTTGCCTTCTAAAATTAATATCTGGATTTTAAGAATTAATTCAACAAGGTCACCATTTTTTTTTTGATGAATATTCAATTTTTTATGAATTTTTTCACTTTTCGTCCGTAAAAAATATTAAAAAATAAAAACGACGTCAATAAATAATAAAATTGTGCAAACACAAGCCTTACATTTTTCTAGGCGTGGTAGAATCAAAATCGGCTCAAAAATTGATGAAAAAATTAAGACGTGGTAAGAAAGCCCATTCGGTTGTTGCAGTTAGCCGCCTAAGGGCGACTTGAGGGCCCAAGATGGTTTAACACCTTTTTTTTTGTTTTTTTTTTTGCCATCTAAAATTAATATATGAATTTTAAGAATTAATTCAACAAGGTCACCATTTTTTTTTTATGAATATTCAATTTTTTATGAATTTTTTCACTTTTCGTCCGTAAAAAATATTAAAAAATAAAAACGACGTCAATAAATAATAAAATTGTGCAAACACGAGCCTTACATTTTTCTAGGCGTGGTAGAAAAAAAATCGCCTCAAAAATTGATGAAAAAAGTAAGACGTGGTAACAAAGCCCATTCGGTTGTCGTAGTTAGCCGCCTAAGGGCGACTTGAGGGCTCGGGATGGTTTAAAACCTTTTTTTTTGTTTTTTTTTTACCTACAAAAATTGATATCTGGATTTTAAGAATTAATTCAACAAGGTCACCATTTTTTTTTTATGAATATTCAATTTTTTATGAATTTTTTCACTTTTCGTCCGTAAGAAATATTAAAAAATTAAAAGGACGTCCATAAATAATAAAATTGTGCAAACACGAGCCTTACATTTTTCTAGGCATGGTAGAATCAAAATCACCATTTTATGAATATTCAATTTTTTATGAATTTTTTCACTTTTCGTCCGTAAGAAATATTAAAAAATTAAAAGGACGTCCATAAATAATAAAATTGTGCAAACACGAGCCTTACATTTTTCTAGGCATGGTAGAATCAAAATCACCAAAAAAATTGATGAAAAAATTCAGACGTGGTAACAAAGCCCATTCGGTTGTCGTAGTTAGCCGCCTAAGAGCGACTTGAGGGCCCGGGACGGTTTAAAACCTTTTTTTTTGTTTTTTTTTACCTTCTAAAATTAATATCTGGATTTTAAGAATTAATTCAACAAGGTCACAATTTTTATTTATGAATATTCAATTTTTTATGAATTTTTTCACTTTTCGTCCGTAAGAAATATTAAAAAATTAAAAGGACGTCCATAAATAATAAAATTGTGCAACCACGAGCCTTACATTTTTCTAGGCGTGGTAGAATCAAAATCGGCTCAAAAATTGATGAAAAAATTCAGACGTGGTAACAAAGCCCATTCGGTTGTCGTAGTTAGCCGCCTAAGAGCGACTTGAGGGCCCGGGACGGTTTAAAACCTTTTTTTTTGTTTTTTTTTACCTTCTAAAATTAATATCTGGATTTTAAGAATTAATTCAACAAGGTCACAATTTTTATTTATGAATATTCAATTTTTTAATATTTTTTTTTCACTTTTCGACCGTAAAAAATATTAAAAAATAAAAAGGATGCCAATAAATAATAAAATTATACAAACACGAGCCTTACATTTTTCTAGGCGTGGTAGAATCAAAATCGCCTAAAAAATTGATGAAAAAATTAAGACGTGATAACAAAGCCCATTCGTTTATCGTAGTTAGCCGCCTAAGGGCGACTTGAGGGCCCGGGATGGTTTAAAACCTTTTTTTTTGTTTTTTTTTGGCCTTCTAAACTTAATATCTGGATTTTAAGAATTAATTCAACAAGGTCACAATTTTTTTTTTTTCATGAATATTCAACTTTTTATGAATTTTTTCACTTTTCGTCCGTAAAAAATATTAAAAAATAAAAAGGATGCCAATAAATAATAAAATTATACAAACACGAGCCTTACATTTTTCTAGGCGTGGTAGAATCAAAATCGCCTCAAAAATTGATGAAAAAAGTAAGACGTGGTAACAAAGCCCATTCGGTTGTCGTAGTAAGCCGCCTAAGGGTGACTTGAGGGCCCGAGATGGTTTAAAAAAAAATTTTTTGTTTTTTTTTTTGGCCTTCTAAACTTAATATCTGGATTTTAAGAATTAATTCAACAAGGTCACAATTTTTTTTTTTTCATGAATATTCAACTTTTTATGAATTTTTTCACTTTTCGTCCGTAAAAAATATTAAAAAATAAAAACGACGACAATAAATAATAAAATTGTGCAAAGATGAGCCTTAGATTTTTCTAGGCGTGGTAGAATCAAAATGACCTAAAAATTGATGAAAAATTAAGACATGGTAACAAAGCCCATGCGATTGTTGTAGTTAGCCGCCTAAGGGCGACTTGAGGGCCCGGGATGGTTTAAAATCTTTTTTTTTTGGCCTTCTAAAATTAATATCTGGATTTTAAGAATTAATTCAACAAGGTCACCATTTTTTTTTTATGAATATTCAATTTTTTATGAATTTTTTCACTTTTCGTCAGTAAAAAATATTAAAAAATAAAAAGGACGTCAATAAATAATAAAATTGTGCAAATACGAGCCTTACATTTTTCTAGGCGTGGTAGAAAAAAAATTGACTCAAAAATTGATGAAAAAAGTAAGACGTGGTAACAAAGCCCATTCGGTTGTCGTAGTTAGCTGCCTAAGGGCGACTTGAGGGCCCGGGATGGTTTAAAACTTTTTTTTTTTGTTTTTTTTTTGGCCTTCTAAAATTAATATCTGGATTTTAAGAATTAATTCAACAAGGTCACCATTTTTTTTGGTGAATATTCAATTTTTTATGAATTTTTTCACTTTTCGTCAGTAAAAAATATTAAAAAATAAAAAGGACGTCAATAAATAATAAAATTGTGCAAACACGAGCCTTACATTTTTCTAGGTGTGGTAGAATCAAAATCGCCTCAAAAATTGATGAAAAAATTAAGACGGGGTAACAAAGCCCATTCGGTTGTCGTAGTTAGCCGCCTAAGGGTGACTTCAGGGCCCAAGATGGTTTAAAACCTTTTTTTTTTTGTTATTTTTCTTTTGCCATCTAAAATTAATATATGAATTTTAAGAATTAATTCAACAAGGTCACCATTTTTGTTTTATGAATATTCAATTTTTTATGAATTTTTTCACTTTTCGTGAGTAAAAAATATTAAAAAATAAAAAGGACGTCAATAAATAATAAAATTGTGCAAACACGAGCCTTACATTTTTCTAGGCATGGTAGAAAAAAATTTGACTCAAAAATTGATGAAAAAGGTAAGACGTGGTAACAAAGCCCATTCAGTTGTCGTAGTTAGCCGCCTAAGGGCGACTTGAGGGCTCGGGATGGTTTAAAACTTTTTTTTTGTTTTTTTTTTACCTTCTAAAATTAATATCTAGATTTTAAGAATTAATTCAACAAGGTCACCATTTGTTTTTGATGAATATTCAATTTTTTGTGAATTTTTTCACATTTCGTCAGTAAATAATATTAAAAAATAAAAAGGACGTCAATAAATAATAAAATTGTGCAAATACGAGCCTTATATTTTTCTAGGCGTGGTA